CCTCTATCATTTGTCAATTCATGTAAGGTTACTGGATATATTAAGGTTGTTTGAAAACTTTAGACTGTTCCTCTCTAACTTCATAATGCAATGCTGAAATTGGTTCTCTATTAAATTTCTTTGTCTGGATCTGAATATCTCCATGATCTGTTTTATTAAGTTTTTTTTTTTAAAAAAACTTGTATTTTAGCACTCATATTAACTAACCTTTTTAGTGAAAAACAAAAATGATAAAAATTGACATTACATAAGTCCCACCTAAATTAGTTAACATCTCATTTAACTGTTCTATTTTCAAACTGTCCTGCATATTATCATACAGAGACCTAAATTTCTCCATATTAATAGTGTTTTTCCCATTTTTTAGTGTGGTTAAAAGCTCTGTCTTTTACCTAATTCCTCCTTTAAGAAATCCCAATTGTCTTTCCAAATCTGCCAACAATGTCAGTGAACTGTGAGGAGTACATATTTGAGGCGAGCACACAGTTGGTGAACAGCCTGACTGAAGACAGCTGTGGCTGCTAGTGTGAAGCCGTGAGTGAGTGGCAGCCCAAGGACAGGGCTTGTAGGGAAAGCCTGCAACCCACGGTGAGAGAGAGAGAGAGAGAGAGAGAGAGAGAGAGAGAGAGAGAGAGGGCTGTCTTAAAATGCTTAAAATGCAGAGGACTGCGTGGACAAAGCAGGTGTGGTGGCACTGGCGGGGAGGGGTTGGGTTGGGAGGCTCTCTGAAGGTAGACCCAGCCAGTCCAGGCCAGGTAAGTCCTGTGGTGCTTGGAGCCCAGCTGCTTCTAGAGTTTGGGTGGCCACTGGAGACTGTTTCAGAGAGGCTACAACAGGAAAATCTCAAACTTACTTGCTCAGAGGTTTGCGGAAAAAAGAAAAGAAAGCTTAGCCAGGCAGGCAGGAGCCCTGTGTGCAGCTCCAGGTGGAGCCCCACATGTAGCTCTGGCCTGTGCCACAGGCAACACCTTTGCCGTGTATTCTTACCCAAAATGTTGGGCACCAGATATAGCACAAATAATAAAAACCCTGAGACAGATACTGGGGTTCAAGCTGAAGATTAGAAAAGCAAAGTGGCCAGTCACTAGTTCTTACCTCCACCTTAGACCAAAATGGATGATCCTGCTTCCATGAATCCTCAGACTGGGACCGAGATTCTAATCTCCTGTCTCCTCCCACTTTATATTCCTCTCTAGTGCTGGGATTTAAGGCATTCACCACCGCCTGGCCTCTGTGGCTAACCAGTGTGGCTGCTGGGATTAAAGGTGTGTGCCACCACTGTCTGGCCTGTATGGCTGACCAGTGTGGTTAGCTTTGCACTCTGATCTTCAGGCAAATTTTATTTATTTAAAACACAAATAAAATATCACTATAACTTTAACATACAAACTGGGACACATGTATGAATTATTAATTAATTAATTAAAATAAATTTAAAAGCTTGTCAGGCTGAAGGTGCAGGTTAGTGATAGAGCCCTGACCTAGCTGTGTAAGCCCTCATTTAATGCCCTACAACCACAAAAATAAATAAGTGAAATGAAAAATGCAAACTTATTGCCTTTGTCTGTTTGGCAAGGCTAGGAGTGGCTTTTGGCAGAGGTTTCACATGAATATTGCAGCTCTGTGTTGGTCTTTCCAAATGTAGGTCTGACCATGTCGGCTCATATAAAGTCTCATTAAGAACAGGTGCCTCAATCCCAGAGAACCTAGACAACAATGAGGACCCTAAGAGAGACATACATGGACCTAATCTACATAGGAAGTAGAAAAAGACAAGATCTCCTGAGTAAATTGGGGGCATGGGGACAATGGGAGAGGGAAGAAGAGGAGGAGAGAGGCAGGGAGGGGAGCAGAGAAAATGGAGAGCTCAATAAAAATCTATCTATCTATCTATCTATCTATCTATCTATCTATCTGGTGCCTGATATCTGTGGGTTTTAAACAGGTGCTCAGCCTCAGCATGCTGCTTCCTACACACTATTCTTAAAGGGAATATTCATACAGAATAGTTCCACAATACTTTTTTACTTATTTTAAGTACAGGGTAGTCTGAAAAATGTTTACTGTGGTTGGGGGAGGAGTTTGTGGTGCCACGACATGCATGTGGAGGCAATAGGACAATCTGAGTGAATCTGTTGTTTCCTTTCCCAAGTGGGATCCAGGAATTGAATTCCTTTGTGCATTGAATCATCTCAGTGGGATCAGGTATGTTTGCCTTAAGTCCTTATATAGCCTTTGTCTCAAAGTAAAACAGAGCTTTTTTTCCACTGTTCAGGAGTCCAAGCCACTGTAATGAAAATGCATTCAGACGCATGGCAGTTTGAAAGGAGCAAACACGCTGCTGACATTTGCAAACACTTGTCAGGTGGATCCTTAGGACTCGTCAACAGAAGTAAAATGACACTAGGATGACCAACACTATTCTGAATTTGAGTTTTGATGTTATCTAAAGATGCCTCATTGAGTTCAGTAAGAAATTATATAAACTTTATAAGATATATAGATATATATAGCAAACCTTACCATGTCATACTTATAAAATATTATTTACTGTTTTTTAAAAATATTTATTTATTATGTATACAATATTCTGTTTGTGTATATGCCTGCAGGTCAGAAGAGGGCACTAGACCTCATTACAGATGGTTGTGAGCTACCATGTGGTTGCTGGGAATTGAACTCAGGACCTTAAAGAAGAGCAGGCAATGCTCTTAACTGCTGAGCCATCTCTCCAGCCCTATTTACTGGTTTTATGTGGACTTATGAGACATGAAATTAGAAAAAGGACTCTGAAGGGGAAAATGAAATCTAAAGGTGAGAGGAAAAGAAAGAAAAAACCTGGCAGTAATGAAATTCATGTTAAGTGAGAGTAGGAAAGGATATGGGGAGAAGGGGACCAGAAAACAGGAAGAGCAGGATAGGAGTAACATAAGAACAAAGCATGCATGAAAATACTACACCAAAACACACAATTTGTATGCTAGCTTAAAAACCAATAAAAATACCATTTATTAATTTTATATACTAGCAGCTGATGTTAAGATTTAATTGAGAAAGAGGTTTCTAATGCTAAAAACTATGAAAATCACTGCTGTAAACTGCAGGTTCTCCTACCAATTTTTGGGAGAGTTACTGAGTAGTAAATCTAGGTCCTTTTGAGCTATGCTTCAGTCTTCTCTAACAAAAATGTAAATCAGCATACAAAATTGACTTCAGTTATAGATTGCCCATAATGCAAGATGTTGGTTTTTCAGTTCTATTTAGGATATGATCATATGAACATTCAAATTCAAGAAACTTTGTAAATTAATCCCAGCACTCGGAGGCAGAGGATGATAGATCTTTGTCAATTCAAGGCTAACCTGGTCTACATTGTGAGCTCCAGGCAAGCCAAGTCTACACAGTGAGACCCTATCTCAATCAATCAATGAATCAATGAATAAATGAATGAATGAAAGAGATAAACTCTGAAAAACAGAAATGAATTTTGTTTCCTGTTGTGAATTTGCTCCTGACAGTTATTTCATTTTCTGAGTGAGGGGCTCACTGTGCAGCCCTGGTTGGCATGGAAGCTATGCAGATCAGGCTTCACCATGCCCAGCTGATCACTTATTTTAAAAGCTGCTTGGATAGTGAGAATGCATCCCCAGTGATTTTCATTTCCTCCCCAGGTGATCGCTCCTTTCACAAAAAGAAGCTAATTTCTTTTTCTTCCTTCTACTGACAATCACAAAGAACACTGAAGAAAATGAGGCTTGCTTGTTTACTCCCAGCTTTGGTAATTTTCAATCTACTGTGCCTTCATTACAGAACAGGATCTCTAAAGAACAAACCACAAAATGTGGACGTGTTGAAATTACACAATTGCAGATGGTGTCTGGACATCTCAGTCAGCATTTACTCAACTTTATCCTAAACATGACTTGAGGACTGGTTGAGTATTTACCTAGCATGTACAAGGTAATGAATTTAATTCTCAGCACTAGAAAAAAATGATAATAACTTAAATGAAACAAAAGATAAATCAATAAAAAATTCACTTGAGTCAATTTTTTAAAGAAAAATGCCAACTTATCCTGTACAGATTTATAAGATGATATCAATACATCATTAGCACATACTTAGAAAACAGGAATTCAAAAATTACAACTGAACCAAATATGGTTCTGAGCTAGGATATACATTACATTTTTAAAAATATTAAAAATATACATTAAAAAAGAAGGAATAAGGGCTGGAGAGATGGCTCAGAGGTTAAGAGCACTGGCTGCTCTTCCAGAAGTCCTGAGTTCAATTCCCAGCAACCACATGGTGGCTCACAACCATCTATACTGAGATCTGGCGCCCTCATCTGGTGTGCGGGCATACATCGAGGCAGAATGTTGTATACATAAAAAATACATAAATCCTTTTTTTTGGGGGGGGGTTTCGAGACAGGGTTTCTCTGTGGTTTTGGAGCCTGTCCTGGAACTAGCTCTTGTAGACCAGGCTGGTCTCGAACTCACAGAGATCTGCCTGCCTCTGCCTCCCAAGTGCTGGGATTAAAGGCGTGCGCCACCACCGCCCGGCAATAAATAAATCTTAAAAAAAAAAAGAAGGAATGAGCAATAGACTTGAACTTATGTGACTGAAAAGCCTAAAACATTTACTCTCCAGTCCTGTATAGAAAAAGTTTCAACTGGGCAGGCATGGTGGTGCACACCTTTTAATCCCAACATTCAGGAGACAGAGGCAGGCAGACCTCTGAGAGTTTGAAGTCATCCTGGTCTACAGAGGGAGTTCCAGGACAGCCAGGGCTGTTATACAAAGAAACCCTGTCTCGAAAAAACAAAAAAAAACCAAAAAACAAAAAGAAAGAAAAAACTTTCAAACCACAGACAATGATCAATGTGGTTTTTTAAAAAATTATATAAAATATGCTTATATTTTATATATTATATTTTATAAATAATTTTGTGTTATAAATAACACAAAACTTAATATAAAATCATGTTTATTACCTGTTCATAATTTACACGTTGAATTTCTGAAATTTCTTTTGGCTTTGCCTCAAGCATGTAATCGCCTGTAAAAGAAATTATAAATTACCTTTTAAAAATATTCTTGCTGCTTATAAAATATTTTACCTATAAATTTTTAAACACTTAAATTAAAATATTTAAATTTTTAAACAGGTTGCTTATAAAGTCAACCCCTTAGTTCTACCCAAAGAAATTCAAAGTTAACTATTTATCTCACACAGTTTTTAATGTATACATATAAAGCTCATGAACTTTGCCTTTCCTTTCTACCTTTCTTCCTTTTTGTGGTACAATAAATTGAACCCAGGGCCCTATTCATGCCACGCAAGCATTCTACTCATTGAACTTTAACTTTAGCCCCTTTTTCACTAAAAATACTATATATACACATATATGTTTAATATATCATATATTATTTTATGCTATATTATATTAATTATATATGGGTGCTTTTCCTGCATGCATATCTGTGTATAACAAGTGTGTGTGGAGCCAAGAAGGTATCGGCATCCCTGAACTGTGGTTATAGAGGGTTGGTTGTGAGCTGCTATGTGGGTGCTAGGAGTCAGAGCCAGGTACTCTGCAAGGGCAGAAAGTGCTCTTATTCACTAAGTCATCTCTCTCGTACCCCTTCTTTTAGTCTTTGAGACAAAGTCTCAATAAGTTGCCCAGATTGGCTTGATATTGCTCTGTAGCCCAGGTTGGCTTTGATTCTCCTGCCTCAGCCTCTTGAATAACTAGATTTACAGGCCTATGCCATCAGGCCTAACTTGAATCTTCTTTCTTATTTTCCATTTTAACAGCATATTTGAGCATCTTTCTATGACCTAAAGAGTGTACCTACTTCAACTGCTATAAATAATTTAAGTACTTCTCCAACGATATCACAAATGACAGATGCTACCAATCTGCCACTGAGGCACCCTAATCACTACTATCATTTTTAACGCATGTCTCGCCTTTCAGTATATGTGGCACCTTAAAAAACATGGAACACAATTTTTGTATGTATTTGTCTCTTTCTCTCTGTACACACACACACACACACACACACCATTTTCTTATAATTTTATTTATGTGTATGGGTGTTTTGTCTGCATGTATGTCTATGTATCATGTGCGTACCTCAGAGACCAGAAGAGGATTTCAAATGACCTAGGACTGGAACTACAGACAATTGTGAGCTGTCTCCAGGTGGGTACAATTGAATTGGGTCCACTGGAAACACAGCTATTGCTCTTGGCTTTAGTTTTTTTAGACAGGGTCTCATTATGTAACCTCGAGTGGCCAGGAACTTACAGAGATCCACCTGCTTTTGCTTCCCAAGAGCTAGAAATAAAGACATGCATTTTTATACAAACATTGTGGAGTTCATGTGTATTGAACCTAGGGCCTTGAACATGCGCTAAGCTTGTGCTCTACCACTGAACTCCAGCCCCAGTCTATGTATTGAGTGTGAAATTATTAATTGAATATGCTTTCTTTAAATTATTAGTGTATTTATCATCATTTTATTGAGTTGTAAAAGCTCTTTTACATTTTTACCACATTTCTTATTATTGTGTATGTGTGTGTGTGCACGCGCGCGTGTGTGTGTGTGTGTGTGTGTGTACGTGTGTGTAAGTCAGACAACAAAGTGTGGGATTCAGATCTCTCCTCAAACCAAGGAGGTCTTGGGGACCGAACTTAATTGTTCAGTCTTGATGGCAGGTGCTTCTAGCCATCTCACTGACCCTAAGAGCTCTTTCAGAATGAGAGGAATTAGCATAATCCCTGTGATATATTTAGTAAAGATTTTTTTCTTATAGGGTTTTTTTTACACTTTATGACAGTTTGTTATTGATTGTTTGTTCTATTTTTTTCTGAATGGAAATAGCTATGTAGATTCTGAATTGGATGCTATGTTCAGAAATATCTCCACCACCTTAGAGTTTATAGATATTCATATATTCTTTCTCTTTAACCTTTGTGTGCTCCTGTTTAAATGTTTAAATCTTTCATTTTAAATGGAATTTCTTTGGATAGAAACAGTAAGATATGGAATAGCTTCTTACACAAACTAACAAGTTAACAAAACCACTTTACTATATAGCCTTTACTCTGAAATAAACCTATAAAGACTACAGTAAATATTCTCTTAAGATTGGCAACTCTGAAAGTAATAGAATTCCTGTAGACATCAATCTTTATTTTAAGACAGTTATACCTGCAATGACTTTATTTTACTTATACAGAAAAACTTCAAAAGTACCAAAATAATTGCTTTATGGAATAGCATAAGCAATTTTAAAATTATATAAATTGTTTTGTTTGTTCTGGGGAATGAACTCTGGGTCTCATGTATTCAAAAGTTTCATCTTTGAAATGCTTCTTTTTATTTAGTCCAGGGTGCCTCAAAATTATGATATTCTGAATGCTGGAATTACATGCAGGTACCATGAAACCTGGTTAGGTTGAGGTTTTGATGTAACATTTAACTGAAAACTAATTTGTGAGTAAATTATATATATTTATTTGGATAATGGATAATGTGAGTGGTCTGTTTGAATCCTGTATTTCATTTGTGTTCCATGCTTATTTTGATGAAAGACTATGTGTGCTTTCCTAGCTACCATGTTACATGTTAGTTGGTCTGGTATGTGGAACATTATATGAGACAGTTTTACATGATGTGCTTACAGAGACAAAAGCTTGGGGACTAATGACAAGACTGTCGTAATTTTTATACCTTTTAATATATCCTCCCATATATAATGTATTTACTGACTCAAAACTTGTTTGGTTTTTCTGTGTTCTTGAGACAGGGTCATATTTGTAGCCCAGGCTAACTTTGAAATCATGATTCTCCTGCCTCAGCCTCTCCAGTGCTGGGATTATAGGTAGGTTCCATCATACCTGGCTGATTTACCTCAATGAATAAAATATGACAGTAATAAGATGTCACTTCTATAATGAGAATACAAAATACTGTAGCTTTTATTGTTGTGCTCTTTACTGCTCACTCTAAAGACAGCCAGCTTCCATGTTGTGAAGCTCCTTATGGAGAGGTTCCTATGTCAGGAGGCTTCTGGCCAACAATCATCAGGTAACTAAGGGCTTTAGTACCACAACTCAAGAGAAACTGAGTCCTACCATTAACTGAATGTGTCAATAACCACCAATTCCCCATAGCTGTATATTCTCCTGAAGCGGCAGTGCTGGTGGCCACCATGTCTTCAGCCTCCTAAGACTTTGAGCAAGGCTGTCACCTAGATTCCTGACCCAAAGGTACTGTGAAATAACAAATGATTATTGTTTGGAATGACTTATTATATAGTACAAGACAACTAATGTACTAGGCACACAATGCTGGAACCATATATTTTAGGAAGAATTTATAGTATAAGAATCTGATTGATCTTGTGTGTGTATACACTGGAGATCAAACCTAGATCTTTGTTGAGTGCTAAGGTATGCTCTACCACTGAACTAAATCTACAACCCTTATAATCAAATCTTTTTTAAAAGAAGAAATTAAGAATTTGAGACATGGCTCAGAGGTTAAGAGCACTGGCTGCTCTTCCAGAGGTCCTGAGTTCAATTTCCAGCAACTACATGGTGGCACCCAAACACCTGTAATGAGATCTGGTGCCCTCTTCTAGTATGCAGATATACTTGCAGACAGAACACCACTGTATACATAATTAAAAAAAATTTAAAACGGAAAATGTGGTACATTTACAAAGGGGAGTACTACACAGCAGAAAAAAAAATGACATCTTGAAATTTGCAGGCAAATGGATGGATCAAGAAAACATCTTATTAGTGAGGTAACCCAGGCCCAGAAAGACAAATATCATATGTACTTACTCATAAGTGGCTTTTAGACATAAAGCAAAGAAAAACCAGCCTACAATTCATGATCCCAGAGAACCTAGACAACAGTGAGGACACTAAAAGAGGCATACACGGATCTAATTTACATGGGAGTAGTAAAAGACAAGATATCCTGAGTAAATTGGAAGCATGGTGACCATGGGAGAGGGTAGAAGGGGAGAGGAGGAGAGGGAGGGGAGCAGAGAAAAATGTATAGCTCAATAAAATCAATAAAATATTAAAACACGAAGAAATTGAGCTTCTAAGAAAGCACCTTTCCATTTTAGATATGGAAATACATTTTCTCTTTGAGTACAATTTTATCTAGATTATTGTATTATAGTGTCTGTCTTACTTTAAAAACATCATTTATATAAAAAGGTGCTTCTTTCCCACACCTCTGGAGCCTAGAAAGAGATAACTGCCAGCTCCAGGACAGCCTGGACATAGCAAGACCTTGTTTCACAAAACGGAAGTATCAGAAACATTTTTCTTTTTTCTTTTCTTTTCTTCTCATCTCCTTCCTTCCTTCTTTCTATTTTCATTTGCCCCCCCCCTTTTAGCTTTTTAAAAAGATTTATTTTATTTTTAAAATTAGGTGAGGCGCGGCGAGTGCTCGTGGGTCAGTGAGAGCCAGAAGAGGTTTTTCGCAGTCGGGAGGTCGCGGACGGCTGTTCCGCAGCTGTCATCATGCCACAAAACGAGCATACTGAATTACACCGTAAACGCTATGGATATCGTTTGGATTATCATGAGGAAAAGAGAAAGAAAGTCGGGAGGCCCATGAACGTTCAAAGAAGGCAAAGAAAATGATTGGCCTGAAGGCTAAGCTCTACCATAAGCAGCGCCATGCTGAGAAAATACAAATGAAAAAAACTATTAAGATGCACGAAAAGAGAAACACCAAGCAAAAGAATGATGAAAAGACTCCACAAGGAGCAGTACCTGCCTACCTGCTGGACAGAGAGGGGCAATCTAGAGCAAAAGTGCTTTCCAACATGATTAAGCAGAAACGAAAAGAGAAGGCGGGAAAATGGGAAGTCCCTCTACCCAAAGTTCGTGCCCAAGGAGAAACAGAAGTATTGAAAGTTATTCGAACAGGAAAAAGAAAAAAGAAGGCATGGAAGAGGATGGTTACTAAAGTCTGCTTTGTTGGTGATGGTTTTACAAGAAAACCACCTAAATATGA